TTATGTATCCAGTTTGTGTACGATGTCACGCATTAATTACGGACTCGGTCGGGCCACGTGTGGGAACATTCGAAACTGGCTACCTGTCTTCAGTCGGACACGTGTGCACTTTCTCACAGGAGCCACTTCGTATAATGCTGCGTCAGATTGACTTTCGAGAAGAGATAATGACAATCGGAGCTACTTTAGCGGAGTAACGATGCTTGTTCGTCGGTCCTGTTCACTATCGAATACGGTGACAGCATCCAGTATGGTTTACATCAAAGATACGACCAACAACGGCCGACATTTTACTACCGTTAAATGAGATTGGACGCGTGGAATGAGCGGACAACAACGAGCCGACCGGACCAAATACCGCGACTGTTAATGGAATTATGAAATTAATTTCGAGTACGCGTCTCTTTCGTCACGATCGTACGATTATATCGGTAATGTAGATTGAAATCTGATGGGACGTAGAAGTTACGTGCGCGGAGTACCATTTTATGTACTGTGGACGGAAAATGTTTTTGAGAATAATTTTTGAGATGATTCGATGTAAGATGGGGTTTGATTTTACGGAGAATTTATTATGGAAATTTGATGATAACGAATTTCAGAATTTCTGGGGATTTATGAATTGCAATTTGAAAATTTATCTTGCATTTGGAAAGATGAATAACTGTTAAGATAACAAGATAATAAGATAACAATTTAACAGTTTGATGAGAAGACAATCTGACAATCTAAACTCTAAACAGATGATCAAATGAAGAGATGATAAAATGACAATTTGACAATTTGAAAATTTGAAAATTTGATAATCTGACAATCTGAAAAGATGACAGGATGACAAGATAACAATCTGTTAAGATGACAATGTAACAGTTTGACAAAATAGTAATACGACTATTTGACAATTTGACAATCTGAAAATCTGAAAAGATGGTAAGATGAAAAGATGACACTTTGACCATCTGACAAAATGACAATGTAATAGTTGAACAAAATGGTAAGTGGATAGTTTGACAATTTGACAATCTGATAATCAATAAAAGATGGCAAGATGAAAAAGTGACACCTTGACAATCTGACAATCTGATAATTTGAGAAGATGACAAGATGGCAAGATGACAACTTGATAATCTGACAATCTGAGAATTTGTAATTTAGTAAATTGAATACATTGAAACTGTTGACAATCAAAAATGATGATAACGTGAGGATTTGTGACTTTGGAATTGGAAATTTGAAAATTTAATTATTTACAGATTAGAAAATTTATAGAACTGAAAATTTAGTTACTTTAGGATTTGGAAATTGGAATTTGAAAATCCAGAAATTTATGAAATTTAAAAATCTAGAAATTTAGAAATTTAGAAATTTAGAAATTTAGAAATTTAGAAATTCAGAAACTTGAAAGCTTTGACATTTAAAACTTTTTTGAAATTGATTATTTCTTCACAAAACATTAAAAAATTGATTAGTGAAAAACTATCCATGAACATGAAATGTGTAAATAGCTCTATACCTATAATTTCATAATCGAATGTGAATACATAGAAGTGAATGCTAAAAATGACTTTTAGATTTTCAAAATTTAAATACTATAGTCACCTGTGTGCAAACAGATGAACTATCTGACGTGCTTTCTTAACAAGGTATAACTGCATTTAATATAAATTCATAATACGTTGCACAACTAATAAATTTACTGAAGGTATGTATATACCAAAAATGAAATTATTTTATGTATATTTCATATCATATTTGCGTTTCTTGTGGAAAATGACAATTGTATGGAACAGATCTTCAGAAACTATCATTCAGTTTTCAGTCATAAATACTTCTTTTTTAAAACAAAACTGGTTCAGTTTGTAACTGAAGCTTTCTAAAAAATAATTTTAATTATTGTTACTAATTCCAAAATTTGAAACTGTTTTAAAAATCTCACTTTTACGTATTCTTTAAAATTGATATTTATGTGCTCTTCCTTTCTCTCTCCCTCATTTTCTCATAAAATCGTACTTATCGGCAATTCTGCCGCAATTATCGACAGTTACCGACGTACATATTCCATTTAGAAATTGCAACCTTGGATAAGAGGGAATTCCAAAACTACCATATCGATTGAAACTAATTTTTAATTACAACATCGTTAGTGCTTGCAATTAAAAATAAAAGTATAGACTCTTCTTATTTTCAATAACAAAAGCACATTTTGAGTAACTTAAATTCCGCCAAATTATAAATTCATATAGAGTTCTAAATCTAGCAAACATAAATCATTGATTCTTTTTACAAAATCGACAAATTTGATGCATACTTTTTTTTAAAATTTACTTATATCAGTTAATAGAATTTTATCGCTAAATATTTGTAGTACTTTATAACTCATTAAATGCAATTTTTGTGTCATTTTAATTTCTAACGCTTTTGGTACATTACTATGGTATTATTTTAGTTCTACAAAGAGTGTTACATATTATATTAGATTTAGATAAGCACGATAGTCACTAATTATAAGGAAAAATATAATTTCATTAATACCATCGTTCGCTGCCAGATGACGTTAATAGTACGGTTTACAGAGAAAGACGCGTAGATATAAATTTTAATATATATTTTCATGATTCATAAAGTACACACTTGTTACGAAAGTGTCTTGACTTAAACAAACTAATGAAATTATAAAATTAGTATCATCAATTAGTATTATGGTGTAGTGAAACAGTCAACAGTAAAAAATAAAATATTAACGTGTTACTAAATAATAATAAATAAATAATGTTGTAGTAGTATTAGAAAGTAAAGAAATTGTAGAAAAATATAGAGGAATAGTAAAGTAGTAAAATGGTAACAGTGGAAGTAGAAAGAATTATGAAAATGATAAAATGATATAATGATAAAACAGTAGTAGAGTAGTGGAATAGTGAAACAGTGATTATAAATGAGTAGCATTACAGTATTATAATAAATGTATTAGAATAATGAAATAGTGTAATAGCCATATGCGAAGTCATTGTATATTAAGATAGAAAATAGTAAAATAGTAAAATAGTAAAATAGTAAAATAGTAAAATAGTAAAATAGTAAAATAGTAAAACAGTAAAATAATAAAATAGTAAAACAGTAAAACAGAAACGCAATACCAGAGTAAAACAATACACCAAAAAAATACTCAAAACAGCAGAAGTGGAGCAGTGAAAACAATAAAAGACTAAAACATAAATACCTAAACCAGCAAAAATAAGTATAAAACATAAAGATCAAAATAGCAAAGTAAATTAAAATATCTAAAAATCTAAATAAAGTAAAATACATTAGAATAACAGTTCCAAATATCAAATGGATCCAATCTCTTACCCAAAATCGTTTCTACAAACGAATACACATAAAAAATGATATTAACTCAATAAGACAATATCGCATCCAAATCACGTACTACCTGAAGGGCATCCGAAGTGGGGGTTCTCCAGACTCGACTTCTACTGGCCATCCCTGCCATAATCCTTTTTTTTATTACCCTCGAGATGTTCCAGAGTGACGGGTTTATCTATGTGAACTTCAGGTATCGTGCATCGAAAAAGCTACGCCGGTAGTAAAGTGTCCCGAAGAGTTCATAAAAGTCGTCGCTTTCGTTGTAAATGCGTTTCCCTATTTATTCGGCAGCCACCGTGCAGCCATTAAACTTTTGCCTGCACGCGATCCTACCTCCATCTTTATCGTAACGCGATTTCGAGCTCCTACGATGTCTCTTTTTTCTTCGTTCTCTCCAGTCACGCGCCTGTTATGGGTCAAACCGTTGTTCTCTTCTTTTTTTTCCTCTTTAGAAATGTTGGTCTTCTAAGAAAGCAAAGGATTGTCCTAGGGATCTGACCACCCACGTGGAACGAGGACCTTACAACCTCCCTGAATATCCGGATACAAGATATTTTCGGTAACTCGAAACCGCAAAATGTAGCACAAGATTATACAGCCTCTCCACTTACCGTTTCTTTCTCTCTTTTGAAAAAACGAAGGGTGAACGGTAGCAGATAGAAGCTCTGCTTGGCTGAAGTTTGTTAGAAATTAGGGAAATTAGATTATTTTGCTTTGAGTGAGTTTATGAAATTGTGGGCTTTTGGGAATTAATGTGGTAAATTAAAGAGGGAATTGTAATAAAATAATTAAGTATTTTACATTATTGGTCAGGTGCGATATATTGGGGGTTGTTATTAGTTGTGGAGTTATTATTAGGGATGAAGTATTGACGCGTGAAATTCGAAATAGGGGATGTGTGAATTTTGAAAAACAGATAAGGAAAACTCTCGTCCATTTTGATCCTAGATGAATGATCCTGTGGTGAGTAAAAAGTGTTGGAACCATTCGGTTGTAAGACTTTAGTTGAATTTCTCAGACGGAGATTTGTTGCAAACGTGTTTACTGAAATTAAGTTTAATTTAATAGTTCTATAGGTTCTTGTTTGTCTCGTTCAAAATTTGATTCTGTTAATAAAATTCTTAGTATTACTATTTTTAAAAGTAAAGCTTGAAAATCTTATTTCCATTGTGTTAAATGAATCGTCCTCTTTTTCGCCTCATTTCTGATTTACGATATCAATTACTACAATAAGACTTTCATGAATTTTAAACACCCACTGTCATAAATCAATAGAGAACAATTTCATAAATTATTATGTATCCATCTTTGAAAACGGTCCTTTTTTGCAACTCGGTTACAATCCACAAATATTTTAAATCAATTAAAAAACAGTAAATTTTGAGAAAAAATAATTTGAAATTTTTCGTCTTAAAAAGCTATTATTATTAATTACAATGATAAAACTTTGTTTCCTTTAAATAATTTTATTTCCTAAAAATTTTTGTCCAATTAACATTTACTTAATATACATTTCATTAGTAAATAAAGTTTCTTATTCATACATTATGATTATTTATACATTATTACGTGAATTTAATAAATTTTTTAAATATTTGACAAAAAATTATTACAGTGCATCATTATATATTTATAAAGCATATTTAAACAAGTGTTGCCCATATCTCGTTGACAGCCGATTGTAATACGAATTTTATTCGCATGCCAACATGTCAGACGCGTACAGGTTAATCTATAGATTTCTCTTTGACACGGGATTCCAAATAACGCTGTCTATATGCACCCGATGGATCATATTTTGCTTCCAAAAGACTCCAATCTTCGACTCTGTTGTCGATTAAATAATGGGAGACTTTATCAGCTATTTCTTTCTGTTTCTCGCTGCAAGCTGAACATTCGTGTTCCAAAGCATCGGGAAGATTTTCTGTAATTTTAATTAGAAGTGAAATTATTAAGAGTATGGTAGATGATTTTATTGTTGAATGTTTGTTACTAGAAAAACACGTGCTGGAACTATATTTAAAATGCTTTTAATATGGAAATATATTAAGAATGATGAATAAATGAATAAAAGAAGAAAAATTTATTAATGTACCTTGTAATTGAACTTTAGTTATAATTTGATATAAGCATTTTGAAGATTATTATCGAAAGAAATGATTATAGAATAGATGAATTTTACTGCGGCCATTTAAAGAAGCTTTTAAAGATTAATAGTATCGTGTATTTTTACTCCTACTTGGTGAATACTCAATTTTGTTGTTTTAAAATTTGGAAGATCTTCGATTTTGGAATTTTAGAATGCTCCAGCTATTAGATTCATAAATTTTAGTATTTCAAAATTAGAAAATTTCTAAACTTCAGAAGCCCCAAATTAGCAAATTTTTTAATTTGAGAATTTCCAAAATGTTAGATCTCTACATCTTAGAATATCCAAAATATCAAAGTTCTAAATTCCAGAATATCCTAAACACTAAATTTTAAATCTTAGAATATCCAAATTATCAAATTTTTAAATTTGAAAATTTCTAAACTGCAAAATTTTCAAATCATAAAAATTATTCTTTACTAACAGTAAAAACAAAGATAATATAATGATAACAAAATAAACACAAAGTAACTTAAATTTCAATAATTGTAATATTCAACATTAACTATTTACCCTTCTGTCTTTGAAATTAATACATAAATCAAAAACCATATGAGTGGTTATATTTTCACGAAGTCCACTAATTCCCGAACAAAAATTCCAGTAATAATAAAAATTTCAAGTCAAAAAACTCACTTTTGAGTTCAGCAGCATCCGGAGTACAAGCCGCACGATCCAACAAACAGTTCACATATCCATTCAGAAGTCTGTGGTTGTTCAGTATCACATCGATGTCGACATTGTCATACTTTGTCGTGTATTTATCTTCGGCAAGTACTTGTACAAAAAAAATACAGATTGCGAATATGAAAACGACTGATATGGTCTTCATCTTCGTTGCAGAAAAGCATCAAACTCCACGTAGCGACTGGTTCGATAACTGAAGAGGCTTGTTAGAATCGTCGTCTTATATCCTCAGAAAATGGCTCGTTATATTGTATGAAATTGTAACCAATTATTTGCAATACTTATTCGAAGGAAATTGTAATTTGTTGGGGAAAAACGAGCACGAAAGGACAATTTTTCTTTTGTGGAAACGTGTCGTAAGATGAGTAATGCAGACTTGCAAGGAGTCTTCATTCATCATTATGGAGTCTTGTTATATGGTTTTGAATGAGGGAATAGAAAGAATTAAAAGTGCAATATCGATGGAGTATCAATTATGAAATGCTTTGTTACATGATAAGACATAGTCCTGTTGTTGAAGTTCCAAAATTTGATATTAGAAATTGAGAATTGAAAACTGAGAATTGAAAATTGAGGAGTGAGAATTGAAAATTGAAAGTTGAGAATTGAAAGTTGGGAATTGAAAATTGAGGAGTGAGAATTGAAAATTGAAAGTTGAGAATTGAAACTGAGAATTGAAAATTGTGAATTGAACATTGAGAAAGCAAAATTGAGAATTGAAACTGGAAATTGAAAACTGAGAATTGAAAATTGTGAATTGAAAATAGAGAAAGGAAAATTGAGAATTAAAAATTGAGCATAGAAACTGAAAATTGAAAACTGAGAATTGAAAATTGTTAATTGAAAATTGAGAAAAGAAAAATAAGAATTAAAAATTGAGAATTGAAACCGAAAATTGAAAACTGATAATTGAAACTAAAAATTGAAAACAAAATTAAAAATTAAACATTGAAAATTGGGAATTGGAAATTGCTAACTCGAAATTAGAAATTTTTTAATTCTAAACACTTGAAAATGTTTAATTTTTGAATTTCTAAATTCGACCATTTAAAAATTTTAATTTCATAATTTCTAAGTTTCTTTATTCGAAAGTGCTAATTATCTATATATTTGGTTTTGAAAATATAAATAATTGTATATTCTGACACTTGAAGCTCTCAAATTTCTAAATTCTTAAATTTGTAACTGTTGTATTTCTAAATTGAAAAATGAATAATTTTAAAATCTATAAATTATTAAATTTGAAAGTTAATTGTTTAAAAATGTCTCAAGTCCGAAATTTGATATTTCAGGAATTGTAACTTTAAATATGAATACTCAATTATTTATAGAATCTATATTGGCTAAATTTCTACATTTAAAGATACGAATTATTCAAGAATATCTGAAGTTTTAAGTACAATAATTTGGTAATTTATGATTCACAATATTGGGCATGAAAATTTAGCGATTTACAGTTGTCAAATTTCTAAATTAGAAAAACTTGCAATTCTATAATTTTGATACAAATTTTGATATTTCACAAATAAAAATTTACACAAATGTAAATTCGCACAAATAAAAATTTCACAAACGTGAAAACTTCAGACTTCCAATAAAAAAGACTTAAAAGATGTAAATAAAAACTAAGTTGTGAGAACTAAATGACTAAACTTGTGACTAAATTCTGAGAACTCACATAATGCGTTCAAAAATGAGGCAATCTCCCTAATAGCGAACGTCTGGTCATTTCATACATACTCTGCAATCAGCAACAATGTAATCACAAAAGTATCCTTTATAAACATTCCAGCGTCTATTCTGTTACAAAATTCCGTTTCCGACCATCCTTAAATCTCCGTTTCCTGTTCAAACAAGTAAACGCATCTTTTACCATACACGTGAACAGAATTCGATTGCCTATGAAATTACATGTATTCTAATCGATTCATTGTACAATCACAGCTTTTCCTTGAATTACTTCAAATGAGCATAAATAATTCTGTCCCTGGGATATATTATAGTCTAGCAAGCATCTCCTTGAGGCGACATTGGACTACGTGGAAGCGTGCAGTACTTAACAGGAACGTAGAACAGATAAGACATTGTAATACCAGAAATGATACTTCCTACACACGATTTTGTATTCTGTCCAGTTTTTTCTAGCTTCATAAATTCAACGAACTACATTGTTTTAAGTTTCTTCCTGAAATCTGAAGCTTCTTGTCGACTCTTCTACGTGACATTTAAATGGAGGCGACTTTATCATCTATGGTGATATCATTACTCTTTTAGGAAATATTTTTGGACTGTAAGTACTTTGAGTGCTAAGGTGGGTTATTGAATGTCTGGCTGAGTGTAGCAAACCATGCATGTATGCTGACGTGATGCTTATGTTCATATGTACATATTTTATTGTATGTACAGTAAAATTATATACTGTTTTGTAAATTATTAAAATTGAACGTAGTTTGAATATTGTTAAAATTAAACATATTTTGTATATTGTAAAAATTGTATATTGTTTTGTATACTATTAAAACTATAGTCACTTTATATTACAGTGAAAAGATACATATGTACATATGTGCATATTTTATTTTGTAATACAACTTATATTATTTTACATGAAAAAAGATAAATACATAAAGCAAGGGAAATTAATTAACATATGTTATAATTCATGCAATAGTTTATAATTATATTTTGACAAAATTATCCTAAATGTTACCATAAGCAAAATTACAACTTCACTTCAGTAATTTTTAATTTTAAATGGATACAATTTTTACATTCAACTCTTAATACATATATAATTGTAACTTTGCAATAATATAGAATTATGGCAATTTCTTTTTAAATTATCTATATACAATTCAACAAGATTATATAAGATATAAATTTGATGAATTACATGAAATAAACATTTACAAACTATAACAAGTAATTGTTAATCAACATCAAGTAATCTAATAAAAAGTAATGATGATAATATAACTGCATTTTTCACTGTGGTCGTCAAGAGGTTATACAGTTACGTCATTTTGGAGATTCGATAATTTGAACATTTTTGAATGTAGAAATGTGAGAATTCGGTCATTTGGAGTCAAAAATATGAAAATTTTTAAATTGAAGTTTGGGCTTCAAAATTGTTAAATCTTCCATAGTTAAATAAAATAACTTTTATTAAAAACTGTCCTAATAGCCATACTAACTTCAAAGCTGACATTTAAACATCAAAATGGCAGCAATGCGCCGACATTTTGCGTCCTCTCTAAACTCCAAATGACACAAAAGTACATCCGAAGAACATTTCTCAAAAAACTATCATTTTGCCTCCAAAATGGCATAACCTTCTAACATAAATTATTTTTAAAATTGCAAGAATATTAATAAAAATAAGAGTAAGAGTATATAGATAAAAATTAAAAATCGCTACGTTGAGTATCGTACTCTTCCGAATCCGTATCCGAAGACTCCGCGCAAGCGTAACACACTTTCCCTACATCCCTCCAGCATTCTGCACAATGAACAAAAGGACAACCAGGTGTAGTGCATTGTCTATGTTTTGGGCCTCTTCTAGGCTCCACTTCCTCACAAATTAAACACCTATCCCTAGCACACTCGAAAAACTGCAGCCATCCAAAACGATCCGGCCATTTTAACCTCAGAGCCATCCAAAAGTCTACCTCGTATTCCAAACGACGCGTCCTCACCATACTCCTCACTTTCACCTTCATAAATTTCGCGAAAGAGAGTCTGCGTCGTAGACTCTCGTTATAAAGAAACAGCACTCGTCTCTTCTCTCTTTTTCGATAGAAAAAGGAACAAATCCCTCGGCGAGTACGCTGGGTGTAGATGGATGCGAAGATTAGCAAGAAAATCCCTAGGAACGTTCCGTAGATCTTGAGGATCACGTAGGTGGAGAGTTTCGTTGGTTTTGGGAGACACGCTTCGTTTGTAACCACTGTTTTGATGTGCTTTTTTACGTTGAAACCTCGAATCGCGCTTCGTATTAGGTTTGCTATCACTCCTGTGCCACGAATTTCTAGCAGGAGGTCGTGGTGACCTGTCTGAAATAGAAAAATTTTACTGTATTTTATTGTATTTTATTTACTGTATTTAGTCTATTTTACTGTAGTGTTTGATGTGATATGTCTGGTAAGTTGGAAATTAAGAGAAATGTGGATGGTGTTGTTTGAGTGTTAAGTAATAGACATTACATTGTACACATATGTACCTACAATATGAGTTTAGTAACCTATATAAAATTTCTTATTGACGCAACTCAAATAATCTGAAAAGTATTTTACTTTGATTTATAATATTTGATAAGTATGATTTATTGTAATACATGTATGTGTATGTGTAATAGTAGGTACATATGTGACGTATTCACAAATAATTCAGATATACGTATAAATAATAATTCAAATCAAAGTAAAGTACTTTTTAGATTATTTGAGTTGCGTCAATAAGAAATTTTATGTTAGTTACTAAACTCGTGTAATAGGTACATATATGGTGTACATACACATACATACATATGTATACATAAGTAATTATTGAAATGTGTGTGTGTGTGTGTGCATGAACATTTAAGATTTTGAAAATTTGGGAAGTTGTTGATCTGTGAATTTGAAAATTTAGAAATTTGAAAAATTACAAATTACGAATTTTAGCTATTAAGTAATTTGGAAATTTGATAATTTGAGAATATGAATAGTTGACAATTTTAAGATAAATTTAAAAATTTGTAAATTTTTGAACTCGAGAATTTAAAAATTTGAACATTGGAAACCTAAAAATTTAAATTTTGAAAATTTAGAAGCTTGAGAATTTCAGTTTGGAAATTTATAAAACTTGAAAGAATAAACTTGAGAATTTAAATTTTGAAATTTTGGAACTTGAGAATTTAACAATTTGGAAATTGGAAACTTGGGAATTTAAGTTTTGAAAATTTAGAAACTTGAGAATTTAAAAATTTGAAAATTGGAAATTTGGGAATTTAAGTTTTGAAAATTTAGAAACTCGAGGATTCAATAATTTGAAAATTGTAAACTTGAGAATTTAAATTTTGAAATTTTGGAACTTGAAAATTTAAAAATTTGTAAATTGCAAACTAGAGAATTTAAATTTAAAAAATTTAGAAACTTGAGATTTTCATAATTTAATTTGCAAGCATAAGTACCTAAAAATCCCTAAATTAGATAATTTCCCAATTTTGTACATTTGAAAATATAAGACCTCAAAAATAAAAAATATTTTAAATTAAACAATTTAGAAATGTGAAAATTTGTAAAACTAAAAACTTGAAAAATCTAAAATTTTGAAAATTTGATAACTCGAAAAGCACTCCACAGAATTCAAATAAACCTACCTGAGTATACTCTACATAAGCATGTCTCCTGATCAAATCCAGCGCTTCAAAGAACAGCCAATCCAAAATAACAAAAATGGTCGCCGTAATTAGTTCAAGGAGCAATTTCACCGTTTGTCCTACCAAATGAAAACCTTCAGCAGAACTAGGTTTCCAGCTATAAGGATCAACAAATTTTTTTCTTTCAATTTTCTTCAGCGGCAACAGCGTCATGCTGCCACGTGCTTTTCTTCTTGCGTCGATTCTCCGGAAGTAAGGCGTCACATAAATATTATCGTGCTCAATTTCCGTCAGATACTTATCGTGGTATTTTTGAGCATTCAAAATGATTTTTAGAAACACGAAGGATAAGCATCTTTTCACGGTTATCATCACGGTCTCGAAAAGTTTTCTTCGTACGGCGAATTGGTGCATCACAGCCTTTGCAGCCTCGGCTGAGTCTTGAAGATCCAAAATCACGGCTGGTTTCTTGATTTTGTACTGAAGTTTTGCGTCTTTTAAGCTCCTGCTGAGCTCGTCTCGGGTACCTTTGAAGAAGGATCGCCTCGTTGAACTTTAACATAGATTAAGGTTCTTGTAAGGGTAATTTTATGTACGTTTTGTGAAGCTGGAGTTGACTGGTTGAGTAAAATGATATTACTTTGTTTTGGTTTGAAGTATTATGGAAACTTTTGGTTTGAAAAATTATGGAATTTTTATTGAACTTAAGCAAGTCTGATAAACTTGAATTAGACTTATGATAAACTTACATGTAGTAAAACTTACTTGTAGTAAATTTGCAGTACAGTTATAAGTTAGAAATAACTTGAGAAAGTTACAATACATATGGACTTAAGTAAACTTAAGAAATTTACTGTAAAGCTTCAATAAATTTACAATAAATTTCCATAATTTTTACAAGGTAAGAATTATAAAAACTTCAATTTTTTAATTACTGAATTTCTAATTTTTAACCTTACAAAATTTTCAAATCTATAAATAAATTTTAAATCTTCACTTAAAATTTTTAAATTATTAAATTGAAAAACTTCTTAACTTCAAATTTTTAAATTATTAAATTTCCAATCTTTACACCTATAAAATTTATAAATTTGAGAAACTTCTTCACTTCATCATTTTCAATTTTAGAAATGTAAAAAGTTCTCAACATCATCATTTTCAAATTTACTGATTAAAAATGTTAAAAATTAGAAATTTATAAATGTACCTATTTACATTTCTACCAGAAGTGTTTGAAATGTATCAAGGTTTTCTATAGCAAATAATAACTTGACGTTCATGCTATCAAGTCTATCATTTATTATGCAATAAAGTTCATCGAAAGACATACTTTTTAGAGCAGCATATCCTTCACCGATACCGCTATCGACTTTTCCTTCAGGATCACAAATGCTTGAACCTCCGAGTGCTTGAACTAAATTGCAAACGAAAGTAAGCTTCATAGGCCAACACAGGAGCCACGCAACAAAGACGGTCACTTTTTCGTAACATTTGTTATAAGCATCGCCAAACATGTCCCTATAAATACATACATATAATCTTTAAATATTTCATTTATACATATAATTTCATGACTGCATGAAATTTTTAAATATTGCACTTTTTGATATGTAAATATATTATCACTTATACATACATGTATAATGTGTATAAACATGTACATTGTATATTCATACATTGAAGAATTGAAGAGTTGAAGAGTTGAAGAGTTGAAGAGTTGAAGAATTGAAGAATTGAAGAATTGAAGAGTTGAAGTATTGAAGAGTTGAAGAATTGAAGAATTGAAGAATTGAAAAATTGAAGAGTTGAAGAGTTGAAGAGTTGAAGAATTGAAGAGTTGAAGGAGAGTTGTAAAATTGAAGAATTGTAAAATTGTAAAATTGTAAAATAGTAAAATTGTAAAATTGTAAAATTGTAAAATTGTAAAATTGTAAAATTGTAAAATTGTAAAATTGTAAAATTGTAAAATTGTAAAATTGTAAAATTGTAAAATAGTAAAATTGTAAAATTGCAAAATTGCAAAATTATAAAATTGTAACATTGAAAAATGGAAAAATTGAAAATTACACAATTACACAATTGCAATATTGCAATATAGCAATTATAATCTTTAACCCGTTTACAGGATATAATTTATAATTGCATACTGATGTACAAAATGGCAGATTTTCAAGACGTACCTACATCTTGTTGCGCCCTTGCTAAGTTGTTCCTCGCATCTTGCTTCGATTTTCTTTTTGTATTTAGCTTCGAATACGTCAGCATCGGTTTTAGCATTCTCGATTTGTTTCTCGTGTTTCTCCTCGATTTCCTGGCTTCTCTTTGTGTCACCTTGTAATTCATCCAAGTAATCGTTTTCCTCTTTCAGTCGCCGCATTTCTTCCTCTCCTTCGACTTCTTCCACGATGGGGCTCATTAAGTCTCTCACGGAAGATAAGGTGTCTTTTATTTCATTCGCGTCTGCTTTCATAGCATGAATGGCCTTTTGATTATAATAGACACAATTGAATTTTATCGGGCACTTATGTGCGAATGCGTGTTTGAAATGTACGATGAATTACGGAAGTATTAGTACGCTTAGTCTCGTGATAATTGTAATTAGAGATTGAAATACATATTATTTTAGTATTCGTATTGCATTTCAATCAGCAATGTAATATAATGAATAATGTAACATAATACAAAAATAAATATACACGTAATAAATAATAAATATAATGATATAATATAATATATGTTTAGTTAATGAAATAGTATATTCCTTTTAAATATGGCGATTATAAGAATGTTTTGTACCATTTTGAATAAAATTATTTTATGAAAGGTACCTGTTGAAAAGGTTTGAACATCAGATCAAATCGTGTTTTGGTGAGATTGTACGTCAATTGTGAGGTGCAAGCAAATGTCCTCATCACTTCTTTCGCGTTATACATCAAGTTAAATAATGGCCCAGCTATTATGTACGCTAGAACTAACGCTCTTAGCATACTGCGACCTGAACGACCAAAAAATGCTGGCACTGTCAAAAGGCAAACGCATCTGACCTATAACAGTGAAGGTAATATCTTTTAATTTATTTTTGTGTGAGTATAGTATCCAGATATAATATTTGTCTGTTTATGTGAAAATTATAATCGAATGAAATGAACAAATATTGCGCCTGCAGAATGGTGACCGTTGCAACGTTCGTGCATGCATTTTGATATGTTCGTTGTAAACTGTTCTAAATACCTTGAATTTCGGAATTTAGAAATTTGGAGATTTCAGAATTTGAGAAATTTAAAATTTGAAAGTTTGTAAACTTGAGGATTTGAAGATTTAGGGGTTTGGGTATTTGAGTATTTGGATATTTGAGGATTTAGAGATTTGGAGATTTGGGGATTTGGGGATTTGGGGATTTGGAGATTTGGGGATTTGGGGATTTGGGGATTTGGGGATTTGGGGATTTGGGGATTTGGGGATTTGGGGATTTGGGGATTTGGGGATTTGGGGATTTGGGGATTTGGGGATTTGGGGATTTGGGGATTTGGGGATTTGGGGATTTGGGGATTTGGGGATTTGGGGATTTGGGGATTTGGGGATTTGGGGATTTGGGGATTTGGGGATTTGGGGATTTGGGGATTTGGGGATTTGGGGATTTGGGGATTTGGGGATTTGGGGATTTGGGGATTTGGGGATTTGGGGATTTGGGGATTTGGGGATTTGGGGATTTGGGGATTTGGGGATTTGGGGATTTGGGGATTTGGGGATTTGGGGATTTGGGGATTTGGGGATTTGGGGATTTGGGGATTTGGGGATTTGGGGATTTGGGGATTTGGGGATTTGGGGATTTGGGGATTTGGGGATTTGGGGATTTGGGGATTTGGGGATTTGGGGATTTGGGGATTTGGGGATTTGGGGATTTGGGGATTTGGGGATTTGGGGATTTGGGGATTTGGGGATTTGGGGATTTGGGGATTTGGGGATTTGGGGATTTGGGGATTTGGGGATTTGGGGATTTGGGGATTTGGGGATTTGGGGATTTGGGGATTTGGGGATTTGGGGATTTGGGGATTTGGGGATTTGGGGATTTGGGGATTTGGGGATTTGGGGATTTGGGGATTTGGGGATTTGGGGATTTGGGGATTTGGGGATTTGGGGATTTGGGGATTTGGGGATTTGGGGATTTGGGGATTTGGGGATTTGGGGATTTGGGGATTTGGGGATTTGGGGATTTGGGGATTTGGGGATTTGGGGATTTGGGGATTTGGGGATTTGGGGATTTGGGGATTTGGGGATTTGGGGATTTGGGGATTTGGGGATTTGGGGATTTGGGGATTTGGGGATTTGGGGATTTGGGGATTTGGGGATTTGGGGATTTGGGGATTTGGGGATTTGGGGATTTGGGGATTTGGGGATTTGGGGATTTGGGGATTTGGGGATTTGGGGATTTGGGGATTTGGGGATTTGGGGATTTGGGGATTTGGGGATTTGGAGATTTAGGGGATTTAGGAATTTGTAAATTTGAGGATTGGAGAAATAAAAAATTTGAAAGTTTGCAAAATTTGTGGATTTGAAGATTTGGGGATTTGGGGATTTGAGGATTTGGGGATTTAAGGATTTGAGAACTTTAAAATTTGAAAAGTTGTAAACTTGAAAATTTAAGAAGTTGGGGATTTGAGATTTGAGTATTTGGGGATTTAAAAATTTGTGAACTTGACGATTTGGGGATTTAGAGATTTGGGAATTTAGGAATTTGGAGATTTAAGGATTTGGCAGCTTAAAAATTTTGTAGTTTGTAAACTTGAAAATTTGGAGATTTGGGGTTTTTGTATTTGGGGATTTGAAGAATTATAAACTTGAAGATTTGGGGATTTAGGGATTTAGGAGTTCGGAGATTTAAGGATTTGAAACTATAAGGATATAATGACTCGAGAACTATAAAATTTGAAAATTTACAAAATTGAATATTTGGGAATTTTAAATTTGTAAACTTGAAGATTTAGAAATTTGGAAATTTACGAATTTGCAAACTTGGGGATTTAAGTATTTGAGAGCTTTTAATTTGAAAACTTGCAAACCTAAGTATTTGTGGTTTTGAAAATTTAAGACTCCAGCCACCAAAAATATTTCTTACAAAGAAACTACTCATTATTTTAAAAGTGAAGAGGTCTTCACAGAAGAGTTCAAAATTTCTTGCGATTTTAATATAAAGAACTAAAATTTTAACGGAGCCCTCTTGAGATATAACAATGTAAGAAAAAAATACCAGGGTTTTAAAAAATGTATTTATTCAAATTTTCGGGATATAAAGAATCTAAACTGGAAGTTAAATTACCTGGGGTCGTTTCATCCTCAGTGCAACCATTAAAAGTGAACTATTCACAAAAAAAAATTGCACAACACATGCCTGACTGGAATTGAAGCTTACACAAAACAAAATTGTACAGCACATATCTGACTTAAATTGAAGCTTACCTGAATTGAAGCAGCACATCCAACTGACAGCATCACTACAACAATAGCACCAAGACTCAAACTAGTATATCTATCAAACCCCAAATCAACGATAATGCCCTCGTACAAAAGTACAGCCATAAAGAATCCAAGTAAAAATCCTACAAAAGCACGTGCCTTCTTATGAGTGCCTATGGGATCGTAGCAAATATGAAACAGTGTAGGACAATTTTTCAGATAATACTTGAAGAAACTTTTTTTGAATTTTTCCACTCGAACACCCAAATTCGTCGTTTTTTCTAAACCAGACATTTTGTCTTATGTAAGATAAAAGATTTGAGTTTTTTACGTCATAAAATCGATTAGTATAACGTATGAGAATCGAAGTGTTATCGTCTTGTTGGTTAGAGAAGAAATCCTTGACATCTATTCTCAGATTGTCACTCTTTTTTTCCCCTGTATACAGTCCATTTAAATTACCATAATTTATCACTGTGATTCATTAATCGCAGCGACGTGAATCTCTAATGAAACTTGTTTGTCACGTTTCGAAATACTCATTTGTAGCATATCGACAACCGAGAGAGATTAAATTGTTGATTGGATTCTACTGGGAACAAATGGAATTTAATAAGACGATTTGTTTTGTGCTTAGAATGTTTTGTGGTTGTGGTGGTAAGAATGTAAAGGGGTAATCTGTTACTAAAGTTAGAAATGTGAAGACTTGAAGGGTAATGATATGTGTTCCCATTTTTATAAATTTTTGAAGATAACAGTTTGTGAATTGTTAAATTCCTGAATTGGAAATGTAAATGTTTAAAAATTTGAAGAATTAAAGGAGTGATGTTTAATTTTTTTAGACATTAATTCTTAAATTTTTTAAAGTTAATTATAGGAGTTTTTATTTACACATTTTTAACCTTTTAAGTTGCTAAATTTATACCTTTCTTAATATTCAAGTTTTCTAATTTTCAATTTTCCAAACATCCCACTTTTCAGTTTTTCAATTTTTCAATTTTCCAATTTTCCAATTTTCCAATTTTCCCGCTTTTGACCTTTTCAACCTTACAATTGTCCAATTTTCTAACTTTCCAATTTTCCAAATTTCCAAGTTTCCTACTTTCCAAATGTCTTACTTTCCAATTTTCCAAATTTCCAATTTTCTAAATTTCTAAATTTCTAAATTTCCAACTTTATCGCTTTACAAAATTTTAATTCTAATTTGCAAGAAGTATGTAACATTTAAAAATATATTTCTAGATTTCCAACCTTTCGAAACTGTAAGCTTCTAAATTTCCACATCCTCACATCCAAAAATCAATAACTTTGATACTCCCATATTTTCAAATCTAGAAATGTAAAAATTAAATATTCCAATATTTTCAAATTTCTAGATTTAAGGGTATAGAAATTGGAAACATAAAAATTATATTTTTAAATCCTCAAATTGCTAAATTTTTAGGTTTATAAATCTAAAAACTTGAAGGAATTACGTTTTTTAATATTTATATCACTACTTTTCTAAATTTATATGTTTGTTAAATTTAAGATGTGTTACATTTCAATCCTCACTTTTTAAACTGATACGTCATATTAGATATTTAAAATTAAACTGTCATAAATAAAATTTATAATAAACCTTGAACATCAAATTGGTACCTCATAAATAAAATTTGTATTAAACTTTGACCTCCAAATTGGCACCTCATAAATAAAATTTGTATTAAACTTCAATATTCACACTGATATGTCATAATTAAAATTTATATTAGACTTCGACCTTCAAACAGACATGTCATAAATAAAATTTGTATTCAACTTCAATCTTCAAACTGACATGCCATAAATGAAATTTGTATTAAACCTCGACCTTCAAATTGACATGCCATAAATAAGAATTGTATTAAACCTAGACCTTCAATTTGCTACGCTATTAGAAGATTTGTAATAAACTTAAACCTTCAAATTTCTATTAATGAAAACCTTCAAAGTTATGTAATTAATAAGGCTCTTCTTAAACTTAGATCTTCAAATTGCAAAGCTGTTAATAAGATTTGTATTAAATCTAGACCTCCAAGTTGATTAGCCATTAATAAGACTTGTCATAAACCTAGAGCTTCAAATTGTTATACCATTAACCCTTTGCACTATTTTGACGAGTCTGACTCGTGACGCACTCGTACTTCGGCCATGATCAATTTTACTGAAATTTTTAATACGCTTCAATTTGGAGTTCAAGTCCAATTATAATTTGTATAGTCAACGATTAAATAATAACATATTGACATAACATTTCAAAGTTTTTTGTCGGTTTTAATATTGTAGCTGTAATTAGTCAGTTCTGACTGACGCACCTCAGAAATAAGTCAGATTTACTATAATCAGATTTATAGTAAACCTAGACCTTCAAATTGTTATACCTTAATAAGACTCGTCTTAAATCTAAACCTTCAAATTGCTAAACCATTAATAGGATTTGTATTAAACCTAGAGCTTCAAATTGTTATACCATTAATAAAACTTGTCTTAAACCTGATCCTTGAAATTGCTAAGCCATTAATAAGATTTGTATCAAACCTAGATCTTCAAATTGTTACGCCATTAAGAAGATTTGTAGTAAACATGAACCTTCAAATTGTTAGGCTATTGATAAGACTTGTCTTAAACCTAAACCTTCAAATTGCTACGCCATTAAAAGATTTATAATAAATCTAAATCTTCAAATTGTTTCGTCATTAATAAGACTAGTCTTAAACCTAGACCTTCAAATGGCTAAGCCATTAACAAGGTTCGTATTGCACCTAGACCTTCAAATTGTTACGCCATAAGATTTCAAACCTCGACTTTCAAGCTAACATGCCATAATTCACTCTTACGTCCTTAAATCCCGTACTGCAATGAATAAAAGAATAATTCAGCGGATCAGACACTCGATATTCGGATTTCTCAGTTCTCTATTGATTACAAAACATTAATTTCTAAACACGGCTGCTATCAACGAACATTAGAAGCAGGATGAATTATAGTAAATTTAATACGAAGGTTGTGGTATTAAAACAACGTGGTTCGCTTTCAAAATTACATAATGGCGGTGGATATTTATCGGTGTCCAGAAAGGCATCGGTGGTCAGTTAAAAGCCGCATGTCGAATACAAATCGCTGGAAATCTAGACGTTCCCGTTCCATGGCGTCGAAAGTAAAAGGAGAGTACGAACGAGCACAGAATATTACGAAACTCATGAACTTGACGAAACTTTATTTTCAAAAGGACAAACAGACAAAAAAACTTGTTGAGTTTTTAATTTTTTTTCGTTACACGTTTCGGTTCTAACGTAGCTTTTATACACGAATCACCGATCGATTACGTGTTCGAGAGAGCAATCATATTCGTAAAGAGCGATGAAATTATTTATAAAAACTTTAACTGTCTTCTAGATTAAACATAAACAAAAAACACTTTTCCTTCATTTTCAAAGGTGGTTAGACGGGGACGCCGATTTCCTTCGCTTCCTTCTCGAATTTGACTCGGTATTTCTTTTCGGGGTCGTATTTGTCGACTAGTTTCTGCCACATCTCGGGTTTGTTGTTCACCAAATGCTTGATCACTTTCTTCGTTACTTCCCTCTGTTTCTCGGTACACTTCTTGCACTCGGTCTCCAGGGCGTCAGGTAAGATCTCTAAACATTGCAAAAGGAATAATTAGTTTACTTAATTATATTCATTAAATTAGGTAAATTAAGGAAACTAGTTGTACTTGGTAAATTAGTTAAATCAGTGACTAGTTACACTAGTTAAATTAGTGAAATAAGTTACACTAGTTAAATTAGTAAAACTAGTTATACTAATTAAATTAGTGAAACTAGCTACACTTGTTCAATTAGTTAAATTAGGTTAAATATTACCTAAATTAGTTAAATTAGTTCAATTTCTTAAATTTCTTAAATTAGTAAAATTAGTAACATTGGTAACATTAGTAAAATTAATAAAATTAGTAAAATTAGTAAAATTAGTAAAATTAGTAAAATTAGTAAAATTAGTAAAGCTAGAAAAATTAGTAAAACTAGTAAAATTAGTAGAATTAGTAGAATTAGTAGAATTAGTGAAATTAGTAAAATTAGTGAAATTTGTTAAATTAGTTAAATTAGTTAAATTAGTTAAATTAGTTAAATTAGTTAAATTAGTTAAATTAGTTAAATTAGTTAAATTAGTTAAATTAGTGAAATTAGTGAAATTAGTTAAATTAGTTAAATTAGTTAAATTAGTTAAATTAGTTAAATTAGTTAAATTAGTTAAATTAGTTAAATTAGTTAAATTAGTTAAATTAGTTAAATTAGTTAAATTAGTTAAATTAGTTAAATTAGTTAAATTAGTTGAATTAGTTTAAAAAACTCTAATTTCGTAGAATAAAGAAGTTGCAGCACATTAATTAAAATGTAAATAACATACACGAAATAGGTAAAATTAATTTTTTACAATAATGTTGTAACGATTACATTAAATATTGCGCAACCAAATATTTATTATTCTAAGTCCAAGGTCTTGCATTAAAAAAAAAGTCATACCCATTACATTAATTTTTTCTATATTTCACCGACACTTTTTCAAATTGGACTTGATATAATATTTTACTTCTTTATAAAAGTGAAACAATTTTTTTGTAATAGTATAAATATTTATTTAAATTTGAGTAAAATATTTCCACTCGAAATTATTCAAATTGTTCGAATAATAAATTCCTACTTAAAATTACTCGAATGAAAAAATTCTTATTCGAAATGATTTCAATAAAACAATTCGTATTTGATATTATTCGAATAAAAAAATTCGTATTTGAAGTTATTCAAATAAAAAGAAATTTGTATTTGAAATTATTCAAATAAAAAAAAGTCGTATTCGAAGTTACTCAAGTAAAGCAATTCGTATTCAAAGTTACTCAAATAAAAATAATCGTATTCGAAGTTATACAAATAAAAAAAACTCGTATTTGAATTTATACAAATAAAAAAAAAATTGTATTCGAAATTATTCGAATAAAAATTTGACATTCAAAATTGTTTGAGCTATTGAAAGTTCTACGGTTTAAATTTGAAACAAATTACATTGTGGTACTTACTCTTGAGTTCAGCGCCATCAGACGTGCACCTGCCTTCGTCCATCAAGCATTTGAAGTAATTGTTCAACAATCGGTCGCTGTGAAGAATTTGGTCAACGTCGACATTGTCGAATTTGGTCGTGTATGTTCCTTCTTCAGGGCGTGCGGCTACGAAAGCAACCGCCACAACGAGGACCAAGCAAAGCACTGACAGTTTCATGGTTTCTGTTATAACAAATTTCAATGAGAAATTAAATTTAGTTGTATATTTCACCCCTTGCCGTACAATTCATTTGCTAGATGCGTCAGCCACAAATTACTATTCATAGTTGTAATATTAAAACAAAGAAAGGAGAATAAAATGTTATGAGCATTTTATACTCAGCAATCTTTCATTATTCAAGTTATAGTTAGACCTAAATTTTAAGTTTTATTTGTAGTAAAAGAGTATTAATTTGAGCAAAGTTTGTCAGTGTGAGCAATGAGTGCGTCACTAGTGAGACTCGTCAAAGTACGATGAGAGATTAAAAGCTTTGAAACTTTCAACTATTTATCTAAGAAAGCAGTATCCATATTGTAGGTATAACTAAACAGTATGACAAAATGAAAGAACTGATTTTATGACCTTATTTTGCAATAGGATTACATTTTGTGTAGGTTATCCTTTTTTAGTATCGTAATAACAAGTTTGGCATTATTTTATAATATCAATAGTGACAAATTGAATAGTTTATGATTGCATTAACCTGATATAGACTAATTGGCAACATGTTGCATAATTTTCTTTGATGTTTACTTGAATTATTTGATAAGGTAAAATATCCAAATATTTTATTTCCTGCTTCTTATAATAATAGACACATAATGTCCTTTCATTGACATTTCATATTTTGTTATAAATTATTTTATTTTATTTTAAATTTACTTTATGTTGTCTTAAAAAGTAAGATATTCAAGACAACATATAATAAAATAAAATAAATTAATTTATGAAAAAATATGAAATGTCAATGAAAGGACATTATGTGTCTACTATTATAAGAAGCAGAAAGTAAAAATTTTCTTTTTATTCATGAGAGAATACTATAATGTAATAATATAGTACTATGGTGTAGTACTGCAGTATAATACTATCGTACAGTAGAACAGGTTGAATAACTACTTATAATAAGTAAAATGATTACGTATAATAATAAGGTATAACAGTAACGTAATAACGTAACGTAGTAACGTAACGTACATGATAATAACATAAAATAATAGTATTAACTACATATAATAAATAAAACCAAATATCAATAATTGAAGTATTGCATACCAATTACCAGTATTTGATATTAACAATAAAAAATTGTATATTATTCTATGAAACCCCCTTTAATACAAAATTTCAAAGTGGTGCTAGAAAACAATATTAGACAAGTAATAATAACTTTGAACTATCCAACAAATTTGAAGAAATTTACAATTACATACATACGTTATATAAAAATTAATATATATTTAAATATGTTACACATATTAACACACACATATTTTGCAAAATACAAAATTTTAAAAACCTTGCAATGTAGATTTCAAAACAGTATACAAACAATTATGGATGATCTTAGCGCGCCATTAATTGCATACTTTGCCCTATTTAATGATGTTTTCATTTAACACTCGATGAATATGAAAACTGTTACGTATTACAGATGTTGATATAATTTGCTATATAACACGAGAAATGTTATCTAACTTAATGTTATATAACATTACTCTTTCTCCTTTTCTAACAGTTTTATAATGTTGCTATACAACGTTTAACCCTGGGGGTACTATAAACGGATATTATGCGCTAACCAGAAGCTTGGAATGATACGTTTCCTATGCTCCACTTGCGTAGATAAGTGCTCACTAATTTTCGATTTATTGTTACTTACGTAAAAAATTTCACTGCACTTTCAAATAGAAATCTGTTTCTACTATTGTTCTTTTTAACACAAATAAAGTCAAAATGACTGGTTTCAAATTTCTTATTTTATATTACAAAATTTTATTGACGTGATTTTATGGAAATGTCTGTCATATTTTGTTGAGGTGAAAACTAGTTCTATATGTTACTTGATGCTTTAGTATTTATTTACTTCCCTTTTCATTTTATTTTTCATTCTTCAATAAACGATCATTTAATGCCGGTAGTTCTAGTGTCAATCTATAATTAAAATTCTTAAATCGTAATTAAAAGTTGATCGTTTTAATATTTTAATTTGAGACTCAAAATGGAGTTGTACAGTTCAGATCATAATTTTAATTACAACTGAAATTAGAATTGTTCAACTATTTTAAATTAAAACTTAAGAAGTTTTGAGTTTATTGACATTTTAAAATTTGAAAGTAAAAATGTAATGTCTTAATTTACATTTAAAATTTTTGTTTTAATTTCTTAACTTGAAAATTGAAGTTCTTTTGATTTGTGTAAATGAAACTGTAAATACGTTAATTGCTTTTAGACGTAACTATTACGTCAGTGATTTAGCACTGAAACTATAGATTACTCCGTATTCTAAGAATTAAAAACGATTACTGTCATCCGGTATATAACGTTTACACTTTCTTGTTAAGTAAAACAATAAATCACGCGTTGTATCTATCGTATATTCTCTACTGCAATTTATAATTATTCAAGGTACAATTGACAAAGTATTCATTCGCTACTTCACGAAATTAATAATGTTAGAGTACATAAAAATTTTTCCCTTTGAGTTAAGATGATTGTATCGCAAACACAGTTTATTATTTTTATAACAAAAAATTATTCAATTTCTTCGAAACTTATCTGACTGCAAGTAGTAATAATATCAAAGACTACTGCAGTTTCAGACTTTAATAAAATTTTAACTTCAAACTTAATTTTTACTGTTTCAATGAAGACTTAATATTTATAATTTAATTATATCGAAATGGAAATAATTTCACACTGACACTTTAAGACATCTCCAAAAGATTCATTTTTAATAATTACAACGCAAGAATCCGATTTTAAATTTTGTTTACATCCCAAAGGATTACAAAATCAAACTTTAAATTACAGAAAGTAAAATGAAGATAATTTACTGTATAATTTCTTAAAAACATTAGTAAATGTATGAGCACACTTTTCATTAACAATTTGCATCCAATAATTGTCACAAAATATTTTCATTTTTCACTTATATTATATTGAAGTAAATTTCACTTACTTTCTACAAAGAAAAATGTTTACATGATTTTACTCTTTTACATTTCCATTAACTAAAAACTATTAGATTTTTACCATCAAATTTTTCGACCTATTTTTCTCCAAATAAAATTTATGTAGTACTTCATCATTTTATATTTGCCTTAAATAGAATAAGTTTGAAAGTACATAATTAAAGTTTGAATATATTAAATAAAAGTTTGAGTATTTAATTTAAAGCTGTTTACCTCAATATCAATAAAAATTATTGTAATTTATTTTAATTTACATTAATGGACAATAAAAGTTTGTTAACAATATCTGTCACGTGTACATGTGTACTACTGAACTTGCGATACAATCACCTTAGTCGATTATGTCAAAGTGAACCGGTGGTCGGTGATCGTCACAGCGTGAGATGTAAGTACGCACAAGATGGCGAGTCACTTTCGAAGGCGCGAAACACTCACCTGAACGTAATAAGCTGCGATTAGATGCAATTGTAGAGATTTCTTGGCTCGCGATGCTTATATATGATCCAGGTTTCCAGTGGTAGGATCAAACGCACATATTCAAGGTGGACGAAGGTGGGATCGACGACGATTCATACAGGCTGAACCCCACCTGGAAACCTATACACCTTCACCTTTGTTTTGCTGGGTCTTCTGGAAAATATTCGACTTGCTTGTTGATCCAATGATGACGCGCATTTTAATGTCTTTTTTTCTGATTCTCATTAACGTTGCTCACGAGCTTCATCCTACATTGAGGCACCTCGAAACGTTTCCACGAATTTGCATTTTATGTCGTTCACTGAAATTAGAATTATATCTAATTTATATCTGTTATATATCGTTCACTGGAATTATGAATATGTTTATTATAATTATGTCTTTATTTTATTATAATATATATTTTGTTGAGAAGTTTTGACTTATTTTATATTTTCCAGTCAAATTTTCGTATTTGCTGCTCAGCTGTAGTTACACAAAGGAAATATAGACACAGGTTTAGTGACACAAGAAAGTATATTTTAGCAAGAAACTTCTTATAATTCATATGTTTAAAAATAGTAAATATTGGTTCATTGCCGTTAAGGTATATTTAATATTTCGTTTTCCCGGAAAAAATAAAAACATAATTTGTATTTGACAAAAGTACAGTAAAAGCAAAATTGAAAAAGCAACTGTCAATGAGCATAAACTTAACGACATAATGAGAAAGTTATATCGCAAAACTGAGAATATAAATATGAAACTGAATCTCCGATACATTTTGTTGTAAATATGTTGCATAAATAATATGATATTAAATACTTGTATTTTATTCAATATAAACAAGTTTCATATTTCTCATATCTGTAGCCACAAGTTCCTGCTCTGCTTTGTTAAAATATTGCAAATGTGTAATATAATTTTTCTTGAAATGCATTTGTTTATATTGTTTCGTTATTAAAATATTTAACGAGGGTTCAGAAACATATTTTTATAAAATTGAAAAATTCAAGAATTATGTAATGCGTATATTAATAATTGTATAGAATAAAACAGCAAAAACTGAATTTTTTAAAATAATATTTAACAATGTATTTTTTTAAAATTGATTGAGTCATACTACATAATTGAAAAGTAAAATTCAAGATCTATTGTTAATTTGAAGAAATGAAAATACTTGAAACTATAAAAAGACTATGAATGAAAAATTGTAAGTACATAAACGGAGAATTATTTCACAAAAGTAACCAGTAATTATATATAGAATTGAATAACGAAAAGTATAAGAATTTTGACAATATATTGCAAAAATGAAAAATACATTTTGGGTTATTTCTTTTCCATTTATCAGGTTTATTCTCAAACCACAATGCAAATAATTTGAGTTTATCTGCCTAAGAGATTGATTACCAAAGTTATTATACGTATTTTAGAATGTACAAGTGACGAATGTTAAATACTGTGCAAAACTCAAATATTCTGTTTTCCTTCTTTATTGTACAATATATTTTTAGCAGTGATTGAAGTAATAATAGATACAATATATAAAAGTAGGTTGATTATACTGAAGTTTGATAGAAGTAGCCTGTTAAGTAGAAATAAATTAATAATTAATTGCTTGGTTTTTGTTTCGTTTCTTTTAATTATCTGCTATAGTATTTTCCAACTAAAGAAATTATTATGATACTTTTTTGTACCTGATAAAAATTTTATAGACTTTTTAAATATAATTATATAGTAATTTTATATGCAAGAAATTTTTCGTATCATGATACAAATTTTTTGCATATGATTTGTTAACTTTTATTTATAAATAAACAGATAAACAAATAAATGTTTATTTAAATCAAATTTAATAAATCAAATTTTATTCATTTAACAAATCTAAGCACAGAATGAAAATACAAGAAAAATTACGTTATGAAAGTTTGTTACAAACTTTATGTTATAAAAGTAGGTACTTGCTGTTAACAAAAGAAAACCTGATATGAATAAAATATTATACTAAAACCTCATTATGCTAAAACCTGCTGTTTTCTCCATGCTTTTTATTCAGAATCCACTTTTTTACTCACTCTTTTCCTGTGACACATGTAAAATGCATGAACATGTACTTTTAACATGGTCCCAATGAAACAACTTTTGTTTCCATTCTTTTTGCAAGTTGTTAGTGATTCATCTGAATATACATCCAATCATCTAAATATAAAGCGATAATTCTGAATTTCGTCGCACTTTTTCGATTCAATAAAAATGAAATGTTTTCATAACATTTCTCTCAACGTAACATATTTATAGTATTACAGTAAAATTGTATTATGCTCACAATATGAATGAATTTCACGGTTGTATACCATTTTCCAGAGAACGATTAAATAATTTTAATAAACTAGAAAAAGTGAATAACTTAGCATTAATTTCACGTATACGTAATTCAGGTAGTAACATACATTAAGTGACTCATAAATATTACATTAACACTGGTTTTAAGTAAATGTAGTATTATGCTGAATTATTAATCTTGCACATTGTGACTATAGTTTCCATTGATACGAAAACAAAATTACATAAATTGCACAGAAAATAATAAAATGAAAAACGAGTAAGGTGAAGTGGGGTAAGTTTGTAAACGGGGCAAGTACGTATACAGGCTATTTTTATTACAATATGAGCCAAATTTCTCCATTTAGTATGTCTGTTTCCTTGTTTTGTCTCACTATATCCCCTTTTATATTTCAGCTAAGAGTACTTGTTTGCAATATAGGGTACTTGCATAATGCAGTAAAAAGCATTTTATAGCAGATTTGTTAATAATTCTGCTCTTGCCCCATTGCACACGAAATAAAGTTTCAAAGTATTTAACTTCAAGTTACGCTCTTACCCCATTTTTGGGGAAAGTGCAGAGTAATTGACATTTTAATAATTTCCTATCAAAATCAAAATGTACAAGGAAGATTAAGGTCCTAGTTAATATTAATTAATTAGTCGTAATTGTACAAAGCGTTCGATATCGACATAAGTATTTACATAGCAGACTGAAAATACTTATGTTTAAATACCAACTTTACAAAACCAGTCTACACTTACCCCACTTCACCTTAGCGTTCGTCATAAAATATTACCACAAAATTATTTCTTTGAAATACGAACGTTTTCTAACATCATAAACATTGCAATCCACGTGGTATAGAACGTAGTAATTAATTAGAGCATTCTATAATTAAGTATTACAAAATTCTTAGAAATTTATAATGACAATTATACGTGATTCATGAAAAAAACAAGAATGCTCTGTTTATTTTATAAAGTTATAAGAACACTTCGTATTCACCTATGTCCCTTTGAATGTTTTATTTATTATCGTACGATTGCGACGCTAATTTTTTATAAAATGCTTGCGGTAACGTTTAATGTAAATTATTATAAACAGATGAATCAGTTCCCTGTTTTACAATTCTCTGTCTACGTGCGGAAGTTACTTCTTAGAACTATTAACACTAAACTTGCCAGCGTGTAATTTACACTTAATTTAAAATTAAGCTAAATTAAATTAAGTTTGGAGACGATATTGAAATTAAATTGAAATGGAATTGAAATTGAAATTGAAATTGAAATTGAAATGAAATTGAAATGAAAAATTGAAATTGAAATTGAAATTGAAATTGAAATTGAAATTGAAATTGAAATTGAAATTGAAATTGAAATTGAAATTGAAATTGAAATTGAAATTGAAATTGAAATTGAAATTGAAATTGAAATTGAAATTGAAATTGAAATTGAAATTGAAATTGAAATTGAAATTGAAATTGAAATTGAAATTGAAATTGAAATTGAAATTGAAATTGAAATTGAAATTGAAATTGAAATTGAAATTGAAATTGAAATTGAAATTGAAATTGAAATTGAAATTGAAATTGAAATTGAAATTGAAATTGAAATTGAAATTGAAATTGAAATTGAAATTGAAATTGAAATTGAAATTGAAATAAAAATTGAAATTGAAATTGAAATTGAAATTGAAATTGAAATTGAAATTGAAATTGAAATTGAAATTGAAATTGAAATTGAAATTGAAATTGAAATTGAAATTGAAATTGAAATTGAAATTGAAATTGAAATTGAAATTGAAATTTTATTGGAATTAAATTAAAATCAAGTTGAAATTAAATTGAACTTAAATTGAAACTAAATTCAAATGAAATGGAAGTTCAATGAAATCAAAAAATAATTAAACAAACGACAAAATATAAATTTTCATGAAGACCGCCTTAATTCATAAGAACGTGCGCAAGTTTATCCAAACAAAAAATATATAAGTTTTTAAAAAACTGGTGGCTATAGAATGTTAATCTTAAAAATTGATGATAGTGATGTGTCTGAATGCTTTTTGTAAAAGGAGACAAATCGACTGACTTGCATCACTGTAACTTATCTATAAAATACTCTTTTTTACCACATTTTTGATTATTCTTCTGTATTAATATTTTTTATAATCTTTTATATTAATATTCTTTATAATCTTGTATATTATTATTCTTTATTGTCTTTTATATTATTATACTTTATAATCTTTTACATTAACGTTCTATAGTTAATTTTGCCATTATAAATATCATAAACCCTACCATAAAATATAAATACAACATCGAGACGCAAGAAATGTTACTCCTTCACTTATCAAATTAAATAAATATTCAATTATGATAGATCATAAATATTAATAAAACTTGTGTACACGATTTTTATACAAATTGATGATATTAAAAATTGACTGCTAATGTAACACTTTCAGTTCATGAAAATAGATTTTTTATTCTAAAGAAATTTTAAACGTAAGTTGATAATCTGTAATGTTTTGTAATTTTGAATTATACAATGTTACTGAAATTAAAAATTTGAATTGTTTCATGATTTGAATTTTTTTGATACATTATAAACTTCATATATTATATACACATATAGTATGCATATTTTATTAACTTAATCTTTTTAACATAACATATTAACGTAACCTAAATATTAATGCATTTAACCTAACCAAACATATGAACGTATAATTCTTTCAAATAATATATTCTCA